CTTCTTGCTTCAATTTTATTTGTGTGGTTTTTCTGATACACATTAAAACGTCATCACTTCGTGATTCAGTTGTGTCTTTAATCTTTCGCTGTACGGACACGGTGGCCATTTCAGTGAAGCAGTGTATCAATATGGTTGGCCGTGTGCTAGTCTATGGTGGCAAAGGCGCTTTGGGCGCTGCCTGTGTTTCACACTTTAAATCAAATAACTACGTAAGAGCCAACTATTAACTTTTTACAATTTTGGATTTTAATAAATCGAAAGTATGTATTTTAGTGGGTGGGAAGTATTGATCTTAATGTTAACGAAGACGCGGACGCCAGTATCGTATTACCCCGTGATCTAGGTTGGGAGGAGCAGGAAGCTGAAGTTCTAACAAAAGTTGGTGACGCGTTGAATGGACAGAAATTGGATGCTGTAATTTGCGTGGCCGGTGGCTGGGCGGGTGGTAATGCCGCCAAAGGTTAGTAATTCAAAGAAGGCCACCCGACGACAAAAAATCTTCCTTCTGAATCTACGACGAGATACATAGATACTTGAATTTGGTTTTATCGAATAATTATGTATGTAATTGTGGTAATAATGGTAAGTAATTTTCGAGGTACTTACCTACATAAGTATGTATATGTACATACATACATGCATACAGTGACTTAAAGAAGGGATTTTATTTTTTTTTAATTCGCAATGTGTTGCAAGTTTTTTTTTATTTGTTATAAAAATATTGTTAATGCTTTAGCCACCACCACAGTGTATACAGTGAACCAAGTAGCCAAAACAAAAATGTAAATTTGGTATTTGACAATGAGCGGTAAGACAAACCGGAAGTAAAAGCTCCGGTTAAATACGACTGTTTTATTGATCACAAAATAACGCCCCAAAAAAAGGGTGATGTGGTTTTCACAGGAATAACACCCGCATGTCTTTTGGTGCCCTGAACACGAATCTGAAATCCGTTTGCTCCATTACGTCAGGATTTTTTCCTAACCCCAAAAGCGAAGCGGGCTTCAGATTCGTGTTCGCGATAATATCGTACAGGGTTTTCGACCAATTTTGATACGAAGATTTATTTATAAATACATTCGAAAATAACGTTTGGATACTCTTGTAACCTACTTGATACAGTTTTTAATTGTATAACATTGTTATGTTTTCAGGAATTTAAATTTTTTTGTGGTTTTAGCAACTTTAAAACAATAAACCTTTTTTTTTTGCCTAAAAAGTAATGGTTTTTGTTTGACTTTTATTAATAAACAGTGATGAGTAGATAATACATATTTAAAGTTTTGGTATAAGTTAATTTGTATGAGTTTTTTATGAAGTAAGAGGTAAAAATACCGCGAAATTCAATTCGGGTTTAAATTGGTTTACAAACAATAAACATACATACGTCAAAAACCAATAACAGATTTGCTTAACTTTAGCTTTATTTTTAATAACAGATAGGTAACAGATATGCTTAACTTTAACTTTATTTTTAATCCAACCTTTAAATATAAAGTGAGCTTTAAAGTTAAGCGGTACTTCAGAAAACGACCCTAAGTGTTCTGATTCGATGTTTTGTCTACCAAGCGACGAATTTGCGAAAAACAATGGGAAACTGCCTTCCACAGCTCACATACATATGGGGGAATCATTTTAGTCCAAACAACTTTTCTGCTTCAGTAGTGAAGCGAAAGAGTTTCAAGTCACAGCTGGGCAGCATCTTCCCGGCGGGCGACTGCGCGCGGTATTCGCGTATTAATACTCGCTATACTTAAGAAGGCAGCAAAAGCTTCATTCAACTCTGCACTACCACGGGTTAATAGAGCAGCTACTTACCTAGGAGTCGGTGCAGCCGCGGTTCAAAAGTAGCGATTGACTCCAGCAGCACTGGAGAGCGACTTGTTCGCACGCACACAGTGACATCAATTGCACGCACACTACAAAAATGCTCAGCCGAGGTTGCCCTCCTCTGCTTTAAGGCCTGACTCAGTACCAACGCAGTTTATTTCTGGGCCTTCATTTGTTATTTAAACAATATCCACGGTGTATGAAAGGTTTGGAGCTTATAAACAGCTCTAAAAAAACAATTCTTATATTAAACCTTCTCCGCATTAGGACTATTACAGCCGGTTTAATCAGCAATTTAAATGGAAAATGATTTTTTACTTTGTCAATTTCCATATAGAATTAAAAAAATTAAAACCATTTTTCACTTAAATTGCTGTTTGGCTGAAATTGGCTATTAGAAAAAAGTAGCAATATGGCAATTGACCATGATTCAATAATAGAAAGGTTTTGTAATAAAACAGTCTTCTCGCTTCCACACATAAAATCGGCTCCTTTACTTGTGCAGAATGTTGCTTACTCTACAGTTTCTAGTGATATTAGTAGTAAAACCAAAAATTCTTCATACTAAATATTCGTGAGCATCACCTTCGTTTGCGTAAAATTCCCCTCATGTGGAAATTGTACATCGACTTTAACTTATATACGTAACCGGCCGAACCCGATCTTAGGACAAACTAGTTTTTCCTAGGCTAAACTAGTTCTACCTAGATCTAATATATCCGCCCAATGCGGAAACAAGCTGGACGCAACAATATTGTGGACTGCGTACCTGGAGTTGGACTGATGAGGGTTATTTTTTTGAAGTGCGGCCGAAGGCCGCCTACGCAAAAAGGTGTTCTGCGCAAAAATACTGTCACGCCTGATCTAGTTTAGCCTAGGCAAAACTAGTCCTAAGATCGGGTTGGCCGATATCATATAATACATAACGTCGTCATTGTGCAAAAACGCGTAACTGACATTTGTTGCCAAAAATTGGATTTGCTCACACTTCCCCACAAGCTTATGGCTCA